TCAAAAAAAAAAAAGACATCATTATGGGCTGGGTGTGGTGGGTCACACCTGTACTCCTAGTGCTCTGGGAGGCCGAGGCTGGTGGATTGGCTGACCTCAGGCGTTTGAGACCAGCTTGAGCAAGAGTGAGATACTGTCTTCACTAAAAATGGAAAAACTAGCCAGACATGGTGATGGATGCCTATAATCTCAGCTGCTTGGGAGGCTGAAACAAGAGGATCTCATGTGCCCAAGAGTCTGAGGTTGCTGTGAGCTATGATAGTGCCATGGCATTCTGTCCAGGGCAACAGAAAAAAAAAGACATCATTATGAAGGCAAGCCACAATCTGGGGGGCAAATTGGCACTTCTCGTAAAGTTGATCATTCATCTCTTCTTTGACCCAACAATTCTACTCCTTAGTAAATTTACTCAGGAAAAATGAAAATAAGTGCACAGAGTTTTACACAGTGTTCATGGCAGCTTTATTCATGATATCCCAAATTGCAGACAACCCAGATGTCCTTCGTTGGGTGACTAGATAAACAAATTGATACTAGTCATAAATGGGATATTACTCAACATTCAAAGAAAAGAACTATTGATATTCATTTGGATGAATCTCAGAAACGTTATGGAGAGTGAAAGGAGCCAGATACGGTGGAGTATGTACCGCATGATTCCATTGATACGAAGTTCCAGAATGGGCAAACCAGGACTCACTGAGTTACACAGCTGCCACATGTGTAGGGATCATATGGGAGAGAGATGAACAAACTTTCTGAGGTGGCAATGGGACGGGTTACATGGGTATATGCATTTGTCATAACTCACTGAACTCTTATGCTCAAGATCTGGTTATTTCACTGAATGTGAGTTATAACTCAGTAAAATAAATCCAAGGAACGGCTACCATAGAATTGTTTTGAGAGTTAACTAAGGAAATAATTTGCGATGTACATGGCACAGGGCCTGACACATAGCAGGTGCCCAGTAAATGGCAGCTTACTACTGTTGCAAATAGTGTCCCCAGACAATGACGTCATTGCTTGTTGGGGTGTGTTTTTACAGGTGGAATGAGGTGACTCGAAGAATAGAAATGTGGATCTCCATTTTAGAATTGAACGAGTTAGGGGAGTATGCTGCAGTGGAACTCCACCAGGCAAAAGATGTCAACACGGGAGGCATCTTCCAACTCAGACAGGTACTGAGTCTGTTTGGGGGTTTTGTGTGTGTGTGTGTGTGTGTGTGTGTGTGTGTGTGTGTTTATTTTCCATTTTCCTGTTACAGTTTCTGGAAATTTTCTAACTATCTGTATCTTTGTTCCCTAATGCTCCCCTCTTCCTTTATCCCCATCTGCCATTCCTCCCGTGATCATTCCTGGCACCCATGTCCCCTTGTGTACCCCTCTCCAGGGTCATTCCCGCAGAGTGCAAGTCACCGTAAAACCCGTCCAGCAGTCAGGGACACTGCCGCTGATGGTGGAAGCCATCTTGTCAGTATCCATCGGCTGCGTAACTGCCAGGTCCACCAAACTCCAAAGAGGGCTGGACAGCTACCAGGTAAGACAGAAAGACTTGAAATGATACTGAGCAAAGTTTGGTTAATGCAGAAGTGAAGGACTTGATGATCTATGATGAGGATCTCTTTGGAAATACAACACAACTCTTTGCATTAACTATTTGTCTTCCCCCAATTCACATTTCCACCCATTGCCTTTTTTTTAGCTTTAAAATACTATGTTTGCTTAGCATTGATTATTAATAATTTTATTTATAAACACATACATCTTAATGCTATAGTATTCATTTACTTTGGTTTTTTTTTTTTTTTGGTCAAGGCTGGGTTTGAATCCACCACCTCCGGCATATGGAGCCAGTGCCCTACCCTTTTGAGCCACAGGAGCTGCCCTGGTTTGTTTTTTTTTTAAGACAGAGTCTCACTTTGTCAGTCTGGGTTGAGTGCTGTGGCATCATAGCTCACAGCAACCTCAAACTCTTGGGCTCAAATTACTCTCTTGCCTCAGCCTCCCAAGTAACTGTGACTACAGGTGCCCACTACAATGCCCAGCTCTTTTTAGAGACAAGGTCTTGCTCGGGCTCAAGCTGGTCTGGAACTCATAAGCTCAGGCAATCCACCCACTTCAGCCTCCCAGAGTGCTAGGATTACAGGTGTGAGCCACCATGCCCAGCCTAGTATTCATTTACTTTAGGCAGGTTTTACTTTATATCTAGCCCAAAATATGTTGGATATTTGGCATTGCTGCCTGGCTTAATGCACTTTTATTTATATCATAAAATTGTTTCTATATACCATCATAATTAACCAGCTTTTTGAAAGGTTTACTTCTTGTTTTTCTCAATGAAAATTTGTCCTCATGATCATTTTTATCCATTTTATCTCCTTTTCCTAAACGTTATGTTCTTACTTTAAAAAATAAAAAGATGGGCTCGGCGCCTGTGGCTCAAGTGGCTAAGGCACCAGCCACATACACCTAAGGTGGTGGGTTTGAATCCAGCCTGGGCCCACCAAACAACAATAACGGCTGCAACCAAAAAATAGCTGGGCGTTGTGGTGGGCACCTGTGGTCCCAGCTACTTGGGAGGCTGAGACAGGAGACTCGCTTGAGCCCAGGAGTTGGAGGTTGTTGTGAGCTGTGATGCCATGGCACTCTACCCAGGGGGACAGCTTGAGGCTCTATCTCAAATAAATAAATAAATAAATAAAAAATAAAAAGATGAAACCCTGCGAGAATTGATGTTCATACTATCAGTCAAAACTATTCAGTGTTCCATGAAAATTTTTAAAATCTTTAAAATTAAGGCCTTGTCCTGCAGTGGTCCAAAAGAATAGACGCTCCTCACAGAGTCTCCAGTTTACTACCAAATAGGAATGAGTGATGGGGAGGAAGCAGGCTGTTAGATCTGGCTCTTTCACTGCCTGTGTTTTTTGAGACAGAGCCTCAAGCTGTCCCCCTGGGTAGAGTGCTGTGGCATCACAGCTCACAGCAACCTCCAACTCCTAGGCTCAAGCCAGTCTCCTGCTTCAGCCTCCCAAGTAGCTGGGACCACAGGCACTCGCCACAATACCCGGCTATTTTTTGGTTGTAGCCATCGTTGTTGTTTGGCGGGCCTGGGCTGGATTTGAACCCGCCACCTTAGGTGTATGTGGCTGGCACCTTAGCCACTTGAACCACAGGCACCAAGCCCACTCTCCCTTTCATGATGGGAGAAACCATTTCTTCTTGAGGAATCTGGGCACAAGCCTTGAGAATGATTCCACTTCTATCTCAGTTTCTTTTTGACTTAATGACAGGCAGGGAAAGACTTTTCTGAAAGCTAAAAATCAGCGCATAGACCATTGAATTTTAAGGAAGTGATCACTTGATCAGCCATGGCCTTCTCTCATCAAGGCCACAGTCCCCTCCAGCCTCAACATCTGTCCTTACCTCTTTCAGTATGTGAATGAAAATGCAAACACAGGGGCTGCTGTGTTTTGGAGGCTTCTCAGTCTTTTTCTTACGTGTCTGCAGCCCATGGAACAGGAAATTGGATTGTAGGGATTTTCAGTCCCACTCTTAGCCATCAACCTCTGGGTGACTGCAGGGCTTGGCGTGAAGAGAGAGCACTAGACTTGGAGTCAGAAGACCTGGGTTCTTAAGTCTGGTTTGGCTTTACTAAACAATTACCTTAACTGGATAATTTAAATTTTAATTCCCTTTGCCTTTCTTCAGAACAATGAGGTAGATTTAATAATTCTCTAAGGTCCTTTCTGTAGTAAAAGATTTGTATTTTTCAAGCAACTCTACTTCTGTGTTAAAACTGATTTTTGTCAACATGTGAACCTTAAAATATTAGCTTTCCCCCAGGACTGTATGCTCCTTTTTTTTTTTTTTTTGAGACAGAGTCACTTTCTTGCCCTAGTAGAGTGCTGAGTCATCAGAGCTCACAGCAACCTCAGACTCTTGGGCTCAAGTGATTGTCTTGTCTCAGTCTCCAGAGTAGCTGGGATTACAGGTGCCCACCACAACACCTGGCTATTTTTGGAGATGGGGTTCTCGCTATTACTCAGGTTGGTCTAGAACTCTTGAGCTCGAGTGATCCACCTGCCACAGGCTCCCACAGTGTTAGGATTACAAGCAAGAGCCACTACACTGGGCCTATATGCTCTTTTAAGAAGATAGTACCAGGCTCGGCGCCTATAGCTCAACCGGCTAAGGCGCCAGCCACGTACACCTAAGGTGGCGGGTTCGAATCCCCAGCCCGGGCCCGCCAAACAGCAATGACGGCTGCAACCAAAAAATAGCCGGGCATTGTGGTGGGTGCCTGTGGTCCCAGCTACTTGGGAGGCGGAGGCAGGAGACTCGCTAGAGCCCAGGAGTTGGAGGTTGCTGTGAGCTATAATGCCACGGCACTCTACCCAGGGGGACAGCTTGAGGCTCTGTCTCAAAAAAAAAAAAAAAAGAAGATAGTACCAGACTTACAAATTTAGATTGTGACTCTTTTAAAGGTGTTTTTTTTTTCGTGTGTGTGTGTGTGTGCTTTACTGCTATGTTCAAAGTCATGTCTGGTAACTTTGTTGTTGACATAATAAAATTATTCTAATAAAATAGCTGAAGCCAGTGCAGAATGTGCTGATTACACAATAGTTTTACATCATGAAAGCTCAGGCCAGTTTTCAGTTTATGGAAGTACTTCCTTTGTATAAAAATTAGTGATAAATTAGAGCTATTTGTTCTTTTCCATTAATGAGGAACATTAACTCAAAATAAATTACCTCAGAATTCAGCTTGCATTTAACAAATCAGTCATATAACTGATAATCATGGCTACTAAACAAAAAAAAGGTTATTTTGAAGTATAGATAAGAAAATAGTGGCTCGGCACCTGTGGCTCAAGTGGCTAAGGTGCCAGCCATATACACCTAAGGTGGCAGGTTTGAATTCAGCCAGGGCCTGCCAAACAACAATGATGGCTGCAACCAAAAAAAATAGCCAGGTGTTGTGGCGGGCGCCTGTGGTTCCAGCTACTTGGGAGGCTGAGGCAGGAGACTCGTTTGAGCCCAGAAGTTGGAGGTTGCTGTGAGCTGTGATGCCACAGCACTCTACCCAGGAGGACAGCTTGAGGCTCTGTCTCAAAAAAAAAAAAAAAAAGAAAATAGTTTTAACTATACTTTTATGGCACTTTTTTTTTTTTTGCAGTTTTTGTCCGGGGCTGGGTTTGAACCCACCACCTCCAGCATATGGGGCCAGCGCCCTACTCCTTTGAGCTACAGGCACCGCCCTATGGCACTTTTTTAAAAAAGAAATTCATGTCTTTTCTATGACTAAAAAAAATTTAGTCACAAATCTAAATCAAGAGTTTTTAGATTCTTATTTCTAAGGAAAATTGCCTCAACAAAAACCCTTTTGTTTTCACATGCTGACTTTGTTTTGCCAAATGTTTTTGCCAAAATTGTCACTTTAATTATTGTAAAGTGTCGCCATGTGTTTGGGACAGTTGCGATTTTCTCCAGTGATTGTTATGGTCCCTGAGAGATCCGTACATTCAAAACAGCACACTGTGCTTTTATTGCAATAATGTACAGGGCCTCATATGTACAGTAAGCCCCTAGGCTGCCCAGGTTCCCCCTGCCATGACTTCATCCATGAGAGTGGTGGTTTTCGAGGAAGGCAGCTGAGGTTGGAGACTAAAGGTCTGGCTTCCAGGCCACCTGCCACTATCTATATGACCCTTGGGCTCAAGCATTTCATCCTTCAGGGCCTCAGTTGCCTCCTCACTAAAGCCAAGATTAGGCAAGAGAATTTCTGAAGTCCCTTGGGGTTTTACCATTCTGTCTTCCTAAACCCATCCCAAATCTCTGTCAAATAGCCCCCTCATAAACAATATATCAGTGGTCTATTTGCATAACAATAGAGTTTGTCCTGGCCCAATGATGTTACTTCCTATCTCCATCTAAGATAGTTCTCATTTTTAAATGACTGCTTTCTTTATTTAAAAAAAAAAAAGGGGGGGGGAGCACCTGTAGCTCAAAAGCAAGGGTCCTCAAACTTTTTAAACAGGGGGCCAGTTTACTGTCCCTCAGACCGTTGGAGGGCTGGACTTCGGCCCCGGGGTGAGTCGGCTGCTAAGCAGGACAGGCAGCGGCAGCAAAAACACCCAGCGGGCCCAGATAAATCCTAGGTGGACTGCATGTGGCCCACGGCTATAGTTTGAGGACACCTGCTCAAAAGGGCAGGACGCCAGCTCCATATGCCGGAGGTGGTGGGTTCAAACCCAGCCCCTGCCAAAAAAAAAAAAAAACTTTAGCGAATTAAATCTATTAAATCTTTTTGAGTTTTAAGTAAATGTTTTATTGTGCTGATGCTATGTGAGCTGTCTATTGTAATGTTGTCTTAAGCTTAAAGAATTATTTTCCCAGTGTGTTGTTTGAGAAACAAAATGCATGTCCTTTGTGTTTATTTTTTTCCTACCAGAGAGATGATGAGGATGGTGATGATATGGATAGTTATCAGGTATTGCTACTGCTGTCGATCCTGTGGCATGGGGCACAGCTACTGCTAATGGCCAGCATTCGCAAAGCAGAGGCCAGGGAGGAGGAAGGAGGACCCTAGAGCAACCATATGCAGTTTTCACTCGCTTTTGATTTGCTTTATATGCAATCAGATACAATCCTGTTTCTCTAGATTTCCATGTCAATTGATCATTCGCAACCAGATACTGCCTCTTTGCTATGCCATCTTGAATTACTAGCTTATTGCTAAACAAGATTATTGTCAATGTATTAAAAATTGGTGATCTTAAAAAGTGCACAGTTATCCTTCCATTATCTTTTAGGGGATAGACTTTATCTTTCCCATGCTAAACTGCACTTTGCCCCTCACATCCAAGAGACTAGTGTTGCATAACATGCCATCTTACCTTAAAAGACTGTTACTAGATAAGAAAATTGAAGACATTTTATGCACATGACTTGGTTTGGTTTTGTTTAGCCAGCTTTCAAAGTATGTGCAAATGTGCAGTTTTACCACATCAGCACTGATGGGCCTGGTCTCGTGGAGTGAGTACCATATAGTCATGGTCAAAGCAGCAGACCGAGGTGAAGGTTTCTGTTTGGTTCCCAGTCTTGTGCTGATTTTCCAAGTTTTCAAAGGATGTCTTCTCAGGATATCTTTCTCTATTTAAAATGTGGGTACATTGTAGCCAGAGCTAGGTGTCTGCTCTTAGTATAATGTGTTAAAGCTCAGGCTAGAATCAGCCAAGTCAAAGAACATTTGAACATAATTAATGGATTTTCTTTCCCTACTCATAATTTTACCAAGAAAAAAAAACATGGAAACAAAAACAAACTTCAGGGGAAATATCAGTGTCCCTTGGATCTCAGCAATGCCATTGACTAACGTCTTGGGGCTGTTTGTGCGCTTCCTGCCACATTGTTCACAGTGAAGTTCAAGGGCTGCTTCTGGGATTTCCTAAAGCATGGCTGACTGCATGTGGGGTTTTTGCATGGGAGATTTTCTCGTAGCCTCATGGTGGTGGTGGTGATTAGAAGTAAAATCTGTGGCAAGTTGAAAAGTTCTCTGCTGACTTGTTCTTTGCATTTCAGGAAATATATGTTATCAGGCCATTGAACTATGAAAGTCCCTGTCATTTTCCATTTCATTTGTTTTTACATGGTTTGGGCTCTGTTCATGGTATCCTTCTGTTTAGAATCACAAATCCTTCAGTGAATAGCCATAATTTAGGTAACATAGGCGTACACACACATACACAATGCGGTAAAAATCATCCAACAGCTGGTATAATTTAAGCATGTCTTGCTTTTAAGTTTGATTATCCTTTTTGAGATCCTGGGGCTCTGATTTCTGGATAGTGGCATCCTTGATCAACATACAGTGTTCCTGGAGACCTCTTGACTCCTTGCATATTAATTGCACAGTAATGTTCTGTGGCCTTTCCTAATGAAAAGTTTCCTAATCAATTTAAACATGATTTTTTTTTTTAAATGAAGAAAGAAGTAGTTGTTTATGCACCCTTCAGGAAAATATTTGTCCCCCTTGACATCAGGAAGAAGACTTAAATTGCGTAAGAGAGAGGTGGTCAGATGCACTCATTAAACGACGAGAATACTTGGATGAACAGATTAAAAAAGTCAATAATAAAAAAGGTATGTGAGATTAAACTCTTTTTCAGCGGTAGCTTTTTTAATTCTACACAGTGGTGATAGGTTGCTTTCTTTTCCTGGTTGGACAGTAGGATCTTAGTTTTTTGAACTTGTAACAGTTACAGACATATTATATATTTTTTATTTAAGAAGCCTCCAGGCTCAGCGCCTATGGCTCAAGTGGCTAAGGCGCCAGCCACATACACCTAAGGTGGCGGGTTCAAATCCAGCCCGGGCCTGCCAAACAACAATGATGGCTGCAACCAAAAAATAGCCAGGCGTTGTGGCTGGCGCCTGTGGTCCCAGCTACTTGGGAGGCTGAGGCAGGAGACTTGCTTGAGCCCAGGAGTTGGAGATTGCTGTGAGCTGTGATACCACTGCACTCTACCCAGGGGAATAGCTTGAGGCTCTGTCTCAAAAAAAAAAAAAAGAAGAAGAAGCCTCCAAATGTGAAAGTAGTTCGGTTTTCATAAAACTCTTGGATTGTGTTATAAAACTGTGACATGAAATGTCAAGCTCTGATTTTGTTTTCATAAATGCAGATGGGATCAGTACTGATCAGAGGTACTTAGGGACCAGGACATACAACTTAGAGCAGCTGAACGGTCACTTCTGGAACTACCCCACTGGGCAGGTCAGCAGCCAGCCACTGTTGAGCCATAACTGTGCACTCTCGTGCTCACTGCCAGCCAGCCCCAAGTGTGGGTTTGCTTATGCTGCCAATGGCCATTTGGATTCTAGAGTAGAAATAGGCACTTAAAATCCTTAGTCTCTCATCTAGACTTCATGGTCCACTCATTGTAGTTGGTTCTGTACCAAAGAACACATCATAAATGTTAATCCCTTTCATATAGAAGCGAGCAGAAATTCTCCCTTAGGAAGAGATCTTGTCTCAGTGTGTGGTGCTGATCTGTGTTCGTGCTCAGCCTGCTGCTGAGAACTCACTTTGACTACACCCAGGGGGCTCCAAGATTGAGTTATGGGCAAGGGGATTTCAAAATAATGTATACAAAGTAAACTACCTTTCATAATATGCATGAAGGAAAATAAAGTTAGTTTCACAGGGTGAGCTGTATGGTGTTTTTAATCTTCTATCTTTCTCACATGGCAGTTTTAGAAGGTTGTGGCACATCCATTATTTCATTCCTGCCAACAAGTTTATGTAGTGGACATGACTTACTTGATCTCTGTTTGGCAGATTAGGAAACTAAGGATCATCTATTGAGTAACTTCTGCAAATTATAGAACCGCCAAATAACCTCAGGTGTCTGCTGGTTCTAAATTCTCTTTCTCCTGTTCCTGGCTTACGGTACCTTAAACTGGTGTCACAGATCCTTCTAGGCTCTATGGATGCTCTTGCTTGAACTTCAAAGCCTCACATCCTTTTTTTGGAACATAGTAGATGTTTAAGCCACTCAAGGGATGTCATTGAGTGAGAATCTGTTTATTTTAAATTCAGAAATTTACTTTCTCTCTTCTTGGCACTAGTCTCCTATTTTGTTCTGCAGAGAAGACCGAGGATGACGTGGAGCGAGAAGCCCGGCTGGTGGAGCAGTGGGTGGGGCTGACGGAGGAGAGGAACGCGGTGCTTGTGCCGGCCCCAGGCAGTGGGATCCCCGGGGCCCCTGCTGACTGGTAAGGCTGTGCTTCCCTCTTTGCAGGCCTGGTGGCAAGAGCAGTACAAGTGACTTTCCAGACTGTCACAGTAAATACCAACCAACTGAGCTGCCCAGGGAAGGGTCACCTAGATTCCTTCCCCACTGCAACCAGCTTCTTCCCACTGGAAGCCAGAAAGCATGGATTACCCAGCCAGGAATCAGACAGCATGTCGTTCCTCTAGTCCAAGCATTCACAACTTGGGCATTATTCCTTGATCACTAAAAAAAAAATTGTTGGACGGAAAGAAGGATGTTTTCGAGTGTACTTGAGGAGCACAGAAAATATATCTTCTTTGCCCTAGTACCTGCTTAGTTTGGTAACCTACATGGGGTAAGCACTCCATACCTAATCATCAGTGGATGGATCAGTCAATTCTAGGTGTGCTGAGGAGAGACAGTGTGGTATCTAGGGTCTGGCATCAGATAGATCTGGATTTAGTTTCCAGCTTCGGTTCTTAAGTATATTTCCTCAGCTTATCTGAGGCTTTATTCCTAATCTATTTTGGAGCTATGTTTTTGGTGGTATTGTGAGAATTACAGATTATGTATGTGACGTGCCATGTGCATTATAATATAATCTTATATATTGTAAGGTATGCCAGATACCTTCCATGCCCATTCATTAAACTGTGGCCGCTACTGCTGCTCCTTATTCTCATTCTCACCCTTACACAAGAATATGTGCTGGGCATTTAAGATAAATCAGATTTCCTTTTGACCACAAAATGTGCATGCCCACCTAGTCTTTTTTGAACAGACGTTGAAACATGAGTGATATTATTTTTCTCTAATGACCAGTGGAAATGTAATCAATTTCACGTTTTGTTTTATAAAACTGAAAAAATCCTGAATTCACAGGCATGTAATTTGTTACCTGGTATCTCTCCCTAAAGATTCTGCTACTGTGCTGGAATCCTATAGGTCACATGCTGCCCACTTCTTACGGACAGCCAGCAAATTCCCAGTCTTGTTCTGTTCCCCAAAGCTGTTTCTGGATAGTTCTTTTTCTTTTCTCAGTCTCTTTCATTTGAGGTGTTTTCAAATTTCATGTCTAGAATGTTTGTAACATGTCAGTCCCAGGTCTCATCCCCAGTTACTCTAATTCAGAAAAAAGATGGGCCCAGGACTCTTTTTTTTTTTTTTCTTTAATAAGAACTTGGATTTTTCAAGGAACTCTTTGTTCTAGGACAGTGGTTCTTGACCTTCCTGATGTCACGACCCTTTAATACAGTTCCTCATGGTGGTTTTTTTTTTTTTTTTTGCTGGGGCAAGGTTTGAATCCATGACCTCCAGTATATGGGGCTGGCACCCTCCTCCTTGAGCCACAGGCACCGCCCCAGTTCCTCATGTTGTAGTGACCCCCAACCATAAAATTATTTTTGTTGCTACTTCATAACTGTAATTTTGCTACTGTTATGAATCATAATGTAAATATTTGATATGCAGACTGGTCTTAGGCGACCGCTGTGAAAGGGTCATTTGACCCCCAAAGGGGTCTGGAGCTGCAGGTTGAGAACTGCTGTTCTAGGAGGTCTCTGAAGTGATCGTGATGCAGCTGAGCCAATTGTTGATAAGACGCTGCTGCTCGGTTTCTCCCGCATACAACCCACCTCCTCTCACGCATCATTCATTCTCTCCTTTGAGCTTTTAGAATATTGGCCCTGTCGTTTACTTCTAGGCTCTGATCCTGCCCCGTAAGTACGCTAATAATATCCTCCTTCCCTTCTCCTATTACTGGTTATTTCTATACAGGCTTCAAATAATCTTTGTGTGTAATCTTTAATTACATGTAATTTATATAACTGGTAGTTCTTCTATATGTAATTCTCATGACTTATGTTAATAGAGAAGTCAAGAAATGTGAAAATATCCCATTAATAGAACCTGCATCTCCGCAGTGGTTCTCCTCTGCTTCCACGGCTCTGCAGCATCTTCTTATCTAACAAGATATCTGTAAAATACGTATTTTATTATGATTAAATTCTGTTCTTAAATTTAGGATCCCTCCTCCTGGAATGGAAACTCACATACCAGTTCTCTTCCTCGATTTGAATGGTAAGTAGACAAAGTTCCAGAGGTTATCACATTTAATTCATTTATTAATCTATTCAGACCCACATCATTTTGAAGTCACTTTTCTAATCATTCATATGCCACATTTAGGGGACATTTTTGGCCCCTCCAAATCCATATAAGCCTGGTATGTGAAACTGCTGGAGGAGTGTATTCAGAGAGATTGAGAACTACCCACAGGAGCATTAAACAGTGGTAAAACATAGGCATAGAAAATACCTGGGGAAGTTATCATCCCTGGAGATTCTGACACTCTAGACTTGGCAGGGGCCTAGGGGTATGCATTTCTGACTCCTGCACTAGTTTCCCCCTCCATTAAGGGGTGTTCTTTAGTATGGCAGTTAAAACGATGTGTGTTTTTACAGCAAAATTCTTTTCCAAAAGAAATATTAAAGTGTAGAAAATAACAGCAGAGTCAGTAAGTCTGGCAGGTCCTTCAGCAGGGGTCCTAGGACTCCTCTAAGCACAACCTGAAAACCTCTGACCTAGAGTGAAGACGGGGAATGGATGAATGGCAGACACAGGGAGACTGGCTTTGTCTCCTTCACAGGAAGAATTCTTTGAAAGCCTAGCTGTTGGAGATATCGAAGCAAAGACTGGATGACCACTGGCAGATTTAGGAAGAGTCAGATTTGGACAGAGCATAGGAAGATGATCTTTATATTTCTCCCAAGTGCTTAGGACTTTGATTCTAAATTGATAATTTGACTGCAAAAATCTCTAATTCAGTGTCAATTATGTAAGTAGGACAAAAACCTAACAGCAAGTTACAGGAATAGTCAGTATCAGAAAGCGCAAGATTCTAAGGTGCGTTTAGTGAAAAGATTTGTTCTTAAAAGACTACATATAGATTATATTCATTCTATCTTATAGGAGCTTCACAAGGCAAATTTTTGACTTCCTTAGTTGTATTTTTTGTTCATTTGATTTTTTTTTTAGCTGGGGCCAGGTTTAAATCCACCCCCTCCGGCATATGGGGCTAGCGCCCTACTCCTTGAGCCACAGGTGCCACCCCATTTGATTTTTTGAGACAGAGTCTCACTTTGTTGCCGAGTCTAGAGTGCCATGGGCATCAGCTTAGTTCACAGCAACCTCAAACTCATGGGTTCAAGTGATTCTCCTGCCTCAGCCTCCCAAAGAGCTGGGACCCAGGCAGCCAGCATGATACCCAGCTAATTTTTCTATTTTTAGTAGAGATGGAGTTTTGCTCTTGTTCAGGCTGGTTCTCAAACTCCTGAGTTTAAGTGATCCTCCTGTCATGGCCTCACAGAGTGCTGGGATCACAGGTGTGAGCCCAGGGCCTGGCCCCATAGTTGTACTTTTAAAGAATAAAAGGTGTTATGACTCTGAAAGTCTCTGTTTCATTTGCAGAATAAGGAATGAAAGAAAAAATGAAAATGTGTTATATGTAACTCTTCATCTGTACAAAGCACATTTTAAAATATTTCATGTTTGAGCTTGGCGCCTGTAGCTCAAGTAGCTAAGGTGCCAGCCACATACCCCAGAGCTGGTGGGTTCAAATCCAGCCCAGCCTGCCAACTACAGTGACAACTACAACCAAAAAATAGGGAGGCTGAGGCAAGAGATCACTTAAGCCCAGGAGTTGGAGGTTGCTGTGAGCTGTGATGCCGTCGCACTCTACCCAGAGCAACAGCTTGAGGCTCTGTCACAAAAAAAAAAAAAAAAAATTTCATGTTTGTTTAAAAACTGACTTTGTCCCCACTTTTCTTTTTTTCTGTGCCCTGGACCTGTTGAAGCGGATGACCTCAGTGCCAATGAGCAGCTTATTGGCCCCCATGCGTCAGGTGTGAACTCCATCCTGCCCAAGGAGCATGGCAGCCAGTTTTTCTACCTGCCTATCATAAAGCACAGTGACGATGAGGTAATTAACCTCCAAAGGTCTCTTAAAGGGCTTCAGATTAGCACACAAACCTGGTGGGCTTGTCTTGCTAAACTCCTGTGGTTTGCTTTGGGGGAAAAGACTGGGGAATTAAAAAAAAAAAAAAAAGATAGAACTTTTATGTTGTCCATTCAAAAAAGGTGAAGAAAGAAATCTGTTTGATCACACTAAGTTGGATTTATTTTCTTTCTCTAGAGTGTCGTGTAAAATGCTAAGCCGGAGTTGTGTCTTGTTTCCATCTCCCCATTGTTTCCTCATTCCCAGGTTTCCGCCACAGCCTCCTGGGACTCCTCCGTACATGACTCTGTTCACTTGAATAGGGTCACGCCACAGAATGAAAGAATTTACCTGATTGTGAAAACCACAGTCCAGCTCAGTCACCCGGCTGCGATGGAGTTAGTATTACGAAAACGGATCGCAGCCAATATTTACAACAAACAGGTAGTAACCGTGCCTGATTCTGTCATTGTGGCTATGACCTTGATGTTTTCTCTTTCTGCCTATCACAGAGTGGTAGTTTGTGATACTAATGCAGTGGATACGCAGAATGTGAGCAGACTGGCCAAGTTACGGTCTGATCCTCATTTATGCAAGATAGGGGGCATGAGGATAGAAGAGGTAAATGTCCACTGAAGGACTCTTCCACTTTGGCTGGTTGGAGACCCACAAGCCCAGCTGGCAGGGGGCAGCTAGGACTGTTTGGAAAGTGGAAAACCTGAGACTGAGAGATTAGCCAGCTCCAACAGGCCAGTGACAAGACCAGGACAAAATGCAGACTCCAAGTAAATCCCTATCCTACCACTTTGCCAGACCTCATCTCAGGGTCTGCCAGTAAAACAGAGCCTCTCCAGTGTTCTTCTGAGTAGGGAAAGACTGATTAGACCCTGGAGAGATCAAAGGAAGGCGGCAGACGGGCGGGAAGCAGCCACAGAAACCCTGAATGCCAGGCACATTCTATAGGCTGACTCCTGAATACAACTGGACATCAGTGTCCCTCAGGGTTGGAGACAAGGATTCTTGGCTTCAGTTTTTTTCTGTTTTTCTGAGTATTGTGTGTATCAAAAATATGGTAATTTATAATGCTTTTACAGTTTGTAAAGTTGTAACATAAACTTTACATTTATCATGTAGCTTAATCTGGCTTTTTTTTTTAACCAGAGTTTCACACAGAGTTTGAAGAGGAGAATATCATTGAAAAATATATTTTATTCCTGTGGTGTAACCTATGAAATAGTGTCCAATATACCAAAGGTAAAATTTATACTACTTTTAAAAATATCAATATGTAAATAATGCAGAATGGGTTCATTCTCCAGAATCCTAAAGCATTTAGACACAGTTTCACCCTGTCGCCCTGGCTAGAGTTACAGTCATCATAGCTCACTGCAACCTCAAACTAACTTTTTTTATTTTTGTTTTTGTTTTTGTTTTTTCGAGACAGAGTCTGTGTTGCCCTCTGTACGGTGCCATGGTGTCATACCTCTCAGCAACCTCAAACTCTTGGGTTTAAGTGATTCTCCTGCCTCAGCCTCCCAAGTAGCTGGGACTACAGGTGCCCGCCACAACACCCAGCTATTTTTTATTATTCTTGTTGCAGTTATTGTTGTTTGGCAGGCCCCAGCCAGGCTTGAACTCACAAACCTCAGTGTATGTGGCCAGTGCCCTATTCACTGAGCTACAGGTACCAAGCCAGCTTTTTTTATTTTTGGTAGAAGCAGTGTCTGGTTCTTGCTCAGGCTGGCCTCAGACTTTTGACCTCAAGCAGTCATCTTGACTTAACCTCCCAGAGTGCTAGGGTTACAGGCGTGAGCCACCATACCCAGCCCTTGCCAAAGTTTTCAAGAAAACATTATTTGCATAAAAGTATTGTTATTTCCTGCCTGTCCTTTTAGGCAACTGAGGAGATAGAAGACCGGGAAACGCTGGCTCTCCTGGCAGCAAGGAGTGAAAATGAAGGCACTTCGGATGGGGAGACGTACATTGAGAAGTACACGCGCGGCGTGCTGCAGGTGGAAAACATTCTGAGTCTTGAACGGCTCCGGCAGGCGAGTATCTGAACATTTGGACCCGTGGATGAGATTGCCAACATTCATCCACCAGGGACAAAGATGAATTTATTTCCTCTAAATTCATCACCTCTCTAATTCTGTCAGAGAAGGAGCACTTGAGTAGCAATCTCACTGGGGAAAGGACTCCAGTGAAATAGTAACAAAAAATAAAATAATGGCTTTTACTGAATACTTTCTACTTGACGAGCACCATGCCTGAGTAAAATTTAGATACATTATTTCACTTAATCTTCAAGATAGTACTGCTGAAACCCCTGTTTTCACTTGAGAAAAGTGAGGCTAAGAGGCTAAGACAGAAGTTAGCTAATTCGCCCAAGGTTACACGGCTGGGAAGCGTCCAAAGTCAGGTGGCAACCCAGATAGCTTGGCCCCGAAGCCTGTGTGCTTAACCAAAGACTGGTTTACTATCTCCCTAATATTTAGACCCAGCTTAACATTTGAGGTGACAGCAGAACATGCAAGTGGAAACAATCCATGAGGTGGTGGAACTGTAAGACCGGAGATGTCACTTTGTAGGAGCAGTCGCTGATGTTAGGGAGAGTACGTTGAGCACCAGGAGGAATACGAACAGTGTATGAAAAATCTTCCCTCAGTGGAAATCCCACCCACATTGCTGTGTGAATAAAACACAAATAGCATAAAACTTCATTATCATTTTGCAAGTGGTATATATAGAGGCATCTCTTCATATGCCTTTCATTCAGTGGCTCTCCTGGTTTTATTTATGGGGAAAAAATGTTGGTGATAGATTGTTAAGCAAAAGACAATAACAATAGGCTCAGCACCTGTGGCTCAAGTGGCTAAGGCGCCAGCCACATACACCTGAGGTGGTGGGTTCGAATCCAGCCCGGGCCCGCCAAACAACAATGACGGTTGCAACCAAAAAATAGCCGGGCATTGTGGCGGGTGCCTGTGGTCCCAGCTACTTGGGAGGCGGAGACAGGCGACTCGCTTGAGCCCAGGAGTTGGAAGTTGCTGTGAGCTGTGATGCTACAGCACTCTACCCAGGGCAACAGCTTGAGGCTCTGTCTCAAAAAAAACAATAACAATAATAATATTAAGTGGGTAAAGTAAGGTTTCAGTTTTATAAAAAAAATGTATATGTGTAAGACTGAGTGATCTTTTATATTTTCTGAATCTTCTACAAATAAACATATGCTGCTTTTATCATCAGAAGAAAACACAAGTGATATTTTAAAATTATTATTCATGTGCAGGCCGTCACGGTCAAAGAAGCACTTTCCACCAAAGCCCGTCACATCCGGAGGAGTCTCAGTACACCAAATGTCCATAATGTAAGTGCACAAAGAGATGTGAGACGTGACACATTTCAGGATCTGGGGTGGGGCCTGTGGGGGTTACGTGGTGGGCACAGCACATGTGGCACTGGTGTGAGCGTCCCAAAGTGTAGCCTGCTTCTCTGCACTAGGAAGGGGCAGCAGGGAGCTCAGTTGTGTCTTACGCTGACTAAGCCTTTAGTTCCTGCTCAGCAGGTTATCTCCTTGAAAGAAGATTTTAAAGATACAAATTGAGTTCATTTGGTTAAAGGTGATAGCATTAGCTATGAATCCTGGTCGCAGAGCCTTGGGCTGCTGGCTGCTGTTGAGTGAGTTTACAGACTCTCAGTAGCTGCCCTGGTACGTCTTATCTGCTGCCATTGAAGTGATAAGGAACACCTTATCTACAGCACAGAAATTCCATCCCATACTTGTGTTCTCAAGAGATTCTCATAGATACATAGGTTATATTTAAAACTAAGTGATGCTAAAAATCATAGGTTATATTTAAAACTAAGCGATGCTAAAAATCATAGGCATAGCAATACTTAGAGGATGCAGCTAGTAGAATGGTACTTACAGGTAGGAGCAAGAACATTTGTTGCATCATAGTTTGCAATAGGAAACCATGAGATGCAGCCCACATGTCCATAATAGGAGGATGGAACAAATAAATTATTAGACATTAAAGAGGGCCGTGTATAGTAAGATGCCACTTTTATATGGAGTGTAAAAATGTCTGTAATAATATTAGTGCGTGTTGCTCATGAGTCTGTACACATATAATTATATACAATAGGCACAGAAATAATAAACTCCAAGTTGATGTAGTAATTACTCCTGGAGAGGGGAGAAAGAGTAATAGAAGAATGCCATATAGGATTCGACTGTATCTGTGATATTCTATGTCTTTATGTTAAGAGAAAATTATATTAACTATATCAACCATATTGATTAAAACTATTCATTTCTTATAGGTCTCTTCCAGTCGAACAGACCTTTCTGGCTTTGATGAAGATGATAAGGTGTGTGTCTTTGGGCCTGGCCAGGTCATTAGTAGATTGTCAATATGAAAAGTTAGGGGACTTGGTGTTTTTAAATCTCAGGGCCTTACCTGGTTGATCCTGCCAGTAAAAAGGGAAGGGAAGGGAAGTAAAAGGAAAGGAAAGGGCAGGGCAGGGAGGGGAGGAGAGAATGAAAGGCAGGGGAAGGGAGAGGGGAACGGGAGAGGGGAAAGAACTAAAAGAAAGAAATCTACAGACATCGCACCTTAATCTTAGGGAAATCATTCTCTCCATTTCCAAGTTCACACACTTGACGTGAAATCTCTGTGTACTTTCAGCTTTACGTTATTACTTAGTATCATATATTCCATACCAACATCTATGACACTTTATTAAATAGATATCTGTGTTTATGGCTCTCTCCACTGAAAAAGGCATTACATATACTGTGGGAAAATCTGAATTATTTCAAATGGGTAAAATTTTAAATTAGAACAGTTTGCAATATCATCTTATTCAGCAGATATTACTTGAGTACGTATTACCCTGTATAGTTACTGTGCCAGAGACTATGGATGATTCAAAAGGTATAAGCAGAGATTATGTCTACAAGGAGTCTAAAATCAAGTCCTTAGAGGCAGCCACCTCCTGAGAAATGAAAATAAGGTTAAATAAGCTCTATCATATGCAAGAGTTTTCTCCCTTCAGTATGCCAATACCTTATTCCTGTTTGAAACTTTAAAATCTCAGGTATACATATCAGTACTAGCTATGCCTGTTACCCAGGAAAATTATTAATGGAACTGTTTTACTCTCAGAAGTCTTTCATTTTGGTCTTTAAATTATGCAGTCACCCTAGATACATGCCAAATTGGTCAAAGTGGCTGCCTGTGGAGAGGGAAGAGGACAAATGGAAACATATAGGTGTTCAAAGTGGGTTTCAGCTGGGCACAGTGGGTCACACCTGTAATCCTAGCACTTTGGGAAGCTGAGGGGGGAGGAGCCCTTGAGACGAGGAGCTTGAAACCAGTCTGGTCAAGAGCAAGACTCCATCTCTACAAAAAACAGAAAAACTAGCCACGTATGTTGGCACGTGCTTGTAGTCCCAGCTACTCGGAAGGCTAAGGCCAGAGGATCACATGAGCCCAGGAGTTTGAGGTTGCAGTGAGCTAGGATGACAGCGCTGCACTCCAGCCAGGACAAAGTGAGACTCTGTCTCCCCCCCCCAAAAAAGTAGGTTTTATTTAATTGAAATGATTTTATTAACTCTTGAGCAAACATAATTAAATAGAACATATACTCACTCTAGGTGTCTGTGGTTATACCTTGGGTATGATAGTGTTTGTTACAGTTTTTCAGCACTTTTCTATATGTTTGGAATATTTTATAATAAAAATAAAGAAGAGCATGTACTACCATGAAAAGAAAATAGAAGAAACTCAAACGTGGCCTTCATTTCTCATTTTAGTGTGACTTAATTATAGTTAATGTATATTTTTACCTCACAGGGCTGGCCAGAGAACCAGCTAGACATGTCTGACTACAGCTCCAGTTACCAAGATGTAGCATGTTATGGAACTTTACCCAGAGACTCACCCCGAAGGAGTAAAGAAGGTAGTGGTGAGATCGTTTCGTAGGGATATTTCTTTATAATTACTTAGAAAAACCATGAAAGAGAAGACTTTTGTGGGTGATGTTTAGTAAGATACATAGCTGAAATTCTAGTTAACTAGTTGACTCAAAATTATCTTCATGTTTACTTATTTGATTTCTTTTTGCTTTATATCCAATATATCATCCAAGCAATGATAGGCTTTTTGTGTGTCACTTTAGAATACCCGAACCATTTTTCATGTATCCTTTCCTGAGTTGGAGGTCAGTTTTGAGACACCAATCATATTGTGTTATTCTCTGCCAAACAAATATCTACCTCTGTCATGTTTATGTACTCAAATTAAAGGAAGTTTTAAAAGATCATGACTTTGGCTCGGCGCCTATAGCTCAACC